ATGGTGGTTCCTCCCATTGGGTGTTTTCGGGGGGGGGGGGAAGGGGAGCATGCGATATATCAAGTTTGTTAAAACTGTGAACTTCTGAGACATGTTTACCTCTCGACGTCCTTATGCAGTACTCAACACAATAAAATTGTTATTTGATGATTAAGCAATATCAAGATCAGCAAGCATATAGTATTTTACCATAACAGCATAATAAACTTCTCTGAAATAGCTTCTGCTTCCTGCATGGCTTACGAGGACAGGCTGTGTCTTGCCACAAGTCCTGTGAAGCTCTGGCCAACTGACTCAATGGTTGAAGAAGATTCCCCAAACCAAATTTTGCAAATTTTAAGTAAACTGCAAATATGACCAAACTTTTTTTTTCTTTAATTCAAGCATGAAAAAAGTTCTGAAACTGGGTAGTATCTTGTTTTGTCTTCGTAAGTCTGATGAATAGTTGGAACAGCCTGTTATGTGTGTTCAGTTAAATAGTGTTTTGGTCTCTAGCTGCATGTTTGCCCTGTGCAGTGATTCAGTTTCTTAGTGTAGATAAGATTGATGGGAATACTGTTTTTTGTAATGTGATTTCGAGTCTATTTTAGACCTAAACTTCTGAAACTTACTTTAAACCAGACACCCCAAAATTTTGTTGTAGAAATGCACAGTGTTTCCTGGAACCCTACAGTAGTGTGGCAAAATTGGTATTTTTTTCTTTTACGTAATAGCTGCTTGAGGTCTTTGGGTCTGTTGCTTAAAAATTGGCTTCCTGAACTTCTAAACTCCCGCATCGTACTAATAAGATTCCTAAAATTTCAACCTGAATCACTGAACAAACTTTCATGGAATCCAAAACAATAACGATAGGCTGCCCCAGAGTCAGGACACACAGGCTATTTTCCCAAAAATAACTCCACTTTTCATGGGAAGGTTGATAGTATGGAAAATCCGTCTTCCTTCCCAAACACTTGTGAGTATATTGCCCAGATAATCCTGAATGCTCAGGTGTTACTCCTGGTTTTCAGTAGATTGCAGTATAGCAATATATGGTCTGTGTTTAGTAAACTAATCTCTTGTAGTTTTAAAATGACATGAAATTTCTTTGATCATATTTTTATTTAATTACTTTCATAACTGTGCACCTTTCTTATATCCATCCTTTTTATCTATTACTATATAAAAGCAAAAAAAACAGAAAAAGAAAAGCAGTGGTGATTCTTGTGCTTTTATTAGAATTTGCCCCCCTCTTCCCCCCCCCCCCTTTTTTTTTTAGGACAAAGGGAAGTAATCTTTGATGTAACATCTTATTTGGGGGGGGGGGGGGGGAATTCTGTTTCCTTTTCTTTGTGTAAATTTTTTTTTTTTTGGGGGGGGGGGGGGGAAGAAATGTGCTTCCTTGACTGAGTAAAGTTCTGGGACATACAATACAAGCCTTTCAAATTTCATTTAGCTTCCTGTCACCTGTGCAATATAGACATGTTTTGTTGTTTTTTTTTTTTAAACTGCACTAGACAGCCTTAAACTCTTGCCATTTGAGATGGTAAAGCTGGAATTTGCCACCTTTCGGATCAGTATTTCTATGCTTGAAGGGCCGCAGACCTGATGATTAAGCTTTGCTAAGGTGAATGAATAGTCTTTGACAGTCCTGATATATTAACCGTCAAATTGACGTGAGTCTGTAAAGTGTCTCTGCAGACAAGAGAAGGGATCTAACTTTTCTAGTTAGATCTGCATGTGCCTCTTTCCAGAATTACTTTCCCAGATCAGCTACTGCATGCTTACCTGCTTCTTCTATTTCTCCTTTTCCTTGCTCATCACTCCTTTAACATACTTCCAAAGAAATTCAGCAGGTTGCCATAAGAAGCACCATGGGACAAGTGTTACATAATTTCTAGTCCTACGTTAACATAAGCGTAAGCATTCAGAACTCACCTGGCTAGTTACGGGTTTGTTTCATTTGTCACATACTCTGTTTAACAATTACTTTTCTCTCTGCATCAATAATAAAAGGAAATTTTAGGATTTTAAAATCGTACAATGATTAGACATAGTGTGTGTGTATGTGTGTGTCTACATTAAGTTACAGTGACTACAGACAAATATGGTGCATGTGAAAGTGGCAGGATAGCATATTATTTGTAATTATTTTTTCTTTTAGGTACATGTATCATGTTTTGACTAAAAATACCACAGTAACAGATCACAACCGCAACCTGCTGGTGGAGACTATTCGTTCTATAACAGAGATCCTTATATGGGGGGATCAGAATGACAGCTCAGTATTTGAGTAAGTACTTCTAAGCAATTTTGACTCTGGTTTTGAAGAATAATTAGAGTTGCATAGACATCTAGTTCAAAAGGTTAACTCTTCCAAGACTGTATTTCATGAATGTGGGTAGAAAGCTATGTCCTGTAGTAGATGGGTAAGCAGGATCATATTCTTGTCATACAAAGGAACAGAATTTGCTTCTGTTAACAAAAAAGGGTTCCAAGTCCAGAGCCCCTTTCATGTACTGCTTTTGTTTGACTCTCAAATCTTTGATATAAATACAAAATCTAACCTATTCTGGGGCCCAGATTTACTCAGCACATCTATTAATAATCATATGACTTTAATTTGTTCACTTCAATTTATATAAGATACTACAAATAGATATCTTATTCTAGCTATGCTATTTAGAGTTTTTGTTCAGATGTTATTTTAACCCTCATAAAATAGCCTGATAGAAAAATGAACTTGAAAACAAATATTCACAATTGCAAATCTGACTGTATTAATGCCCATTGTTTGGCTGTTTGCTTCAAGACACTTGCTCCTTTATAAAGGCAATTTGTGATTGAGATAAGTAATTAAAAACACCAAACACCTTAGCTTTACTTATTTAGGGAGTCGTTGGTTTTACTTTTACAGTATGATTTCAACATGATTGGGTTATGATGTGGACCCAATAATAATAAGAAATTAACTTAATTAAGTTAATAAGAAATTATTAATAATTAAATAGAAATAGAAATAATTAAGTTAATAAGAAAATTAACTTATTCTGATTACTCATATCTATACTGTAACTCCATCACATTCCTCACTGTTTTTTCTGCTTGGGAGGATTTTAGGAATGAGGAGTTTTTTCAGCAGTTAATGTAAAAAAAAAAAAAATCAGATATGTTTATGATGTTCTGGTAGGGAAGAGTCCACACTGTTCTCTTTAAATTGCATGCATTTCTGGTTTAAAAACACTGCAAGCATTCGCTTCTGTTTGAATTGTACAATAAACCATGAAATTCTTGCTTCTGGTGTGGAAAAAAAAATAATTAAAGTGGATCACAAATAAGGTCTACAGTGTTGAAGATAAAAAGTGTGTTGGCTTAAAGGGGGCAAGTAAACAAAACGTAACCTTCATTTAGAGGCTCTCCCCTTCGAAGAATATGATTGCAAGGTAGGGAAGCTGCCTGATAAATTGAATATGTAAAAAATAAAATAAAAAAGGCCCTGATTTCTTGACATCCCTTTTCTGCATAATTTGAATGTTTAAATGCCCTTGTTAATATTTAAGGTTTTTGGAAAATATTCTTCTGTTATACAGGTAAAACTTTGCAAAAATAATTCTTCATAAATGTAAAACATACTGTTTGTCACACTTGCCTAGAATCGTCCCTGATCCTAGTAAAATTATGTTCCTGTTAAATACAACAAGTAACTTAATGACACCTCTATTTTATTTCAGCTTTTTCTTGGAGAAGAATATGTTTGTTTTCTTCTTGAACATCTTGCGTCAGAAGTCTGGTCGTTACGTGTGTGTACAGCTTCTGCAGACTCTGAACATCCTTTTTGAGAACATCAGTCATGAAACATCACTGTGTAAGGGCACACTTTTAAACTGTGTAGGATTAAGTGATCAAGACTTGATTGAATTCCCTTTCATTTAATGAAATTTAGTCCTAGTGCCCCTTCACAGAAGAACTATATGAATTCCTAACAATCTTTTTAATTGAATGCTACTGAAAATGCAGTGCAATTTGACTCCAAAATACCTTTTAATGTAAATTTTCAGTAGTACAAAAGTAGTCATTTGGTACTACTGAAACACTTATTTAGCATGTTTCAAGAGGTTCTTTAAGTCAGCAAATTAGTTGTCTGAAATGTTCGCCTTGCTGCCGCAGATTATGTGGTAGAACTCTGTTGTATAATTTGTACTGGAACTATTCTGACATTGGGGCTGGCATTCAGCCACTTGCATTTACTTCAAGGTTTTTAGAAACATATAAAGAAGACAGAGAATTAATAGTTTAAAGTACTCCACAACTATCATGAAGAGAAAGTCACATACAAGCCTTTCAGAGTTTATGACTTTGGGAGGAAAAGGGAGTTATTTAAAGTGTTATTAGCTGCAACGCCTACATAAATTGAGGAAGGTGAAGTACATTCTCAGTTGTCTTATTCTTGGGAGCAAAGACCTTTGTAGGGAACAATTTCCTTATATTACTGCTTGAAGCCATCACTTGAGTTGTTTGGCCAAAAATTGGGATCTTCAAGCATCAGGTAGTTTGTTGCTAGCCGGTACTTTAAATACAGCTAGTTAGCATAATGATTTTTTTCTTTCTGTTAACTAACCGGTGTAATGTCTCTTATTTTTCAGACTACCTGCTCTCTAATAACTATGTAAATTCTATTATTGTCCACAAATTTGACTTTTCTGATGAGGAGATCATGGCATATTACATATCATTTTTGAAAACTCTTTCCCTGAAACTCAACAATCATACTGTACATTTCTTTTATAATGAGGTAAGTGAAGAAAGAGTTGGAGTATAACGATAAGAGGACTTTAATTAGAAATCGATAGCAATTTGGCACACATTCTATTTAAGTCTCTTGTCTCAGCATGTCCTGCATTTATTTTTATAATGGTAGTATCAGTGATTTAGAATTCATTTGGGGGGGTCTCTGCAAAAGCATGATAAAGGGTACATTTCTTTTATAATGAGGTAAGTGAAGAAAGAGTTGGAGTATAACGATAAGAGGACTTTAATTAGAAATCGATAGCAATTTGGCACACATTCTATTTAAGTCTCTTGTCTCAGCATGTCCTGCATTTATTTTTATAATGGTAGTATCAGTGATTTAGAATTCATTTGTGGGGGTCTCTGCAAAAGCATGATAAAGAAGGTCTTTGTCCTCATACAACTATAATAAAACCAAAATCTGGAAGTTAGTGTTATATCAGACTGTTTCAGTAGTTCTGAAGTCTACTCCCCTGAGAATTCGACTTGTTTATGCCTTGTTTTTGTGTGCTTTTATAAACAGGATCTTTTCTGTTGCACCACTTGGTTCTAAGAGGCTTAGTCAAAGTCTAAAAAGCCTGAGTAATCAAAGGCCAAAGTTGAAATGGATTTTTCCCTGCTCCATTCCACCTCTTGCCAGAAGAGGGCATTAAAGCACTGAATATGTGCAGAGTTAACGTGGAAAGCTCTGACGCTTAAAGCAGTTTATTTTAATGCGGAGCTACAAATGCAGCTGACTGTGCATTGTAAAATCATTTTGATTACTTAAGTAGAAGGTAAAAATATCAGTAATACATGGAAAACATTTTTCATACTCCCAACAAATATTCTGTGCATGTTTTGGTTAATTCATAAATACTTTCTTTCCTCTTGTTACAGCACACTAATGACTTCGCTTTGTACACTGAAGCTATTAAATTTTTTAACCACCCAGAAAGCATGGTCAGGATTGCTGTTAGGACTATAACTTTGAATGTCTACAAAGGTATGCTTTTTATATATTAAAAAAAGGCATGTGTACAAAATGCTTTTTTCATTGTTGTTTAATTTTCAGTTATTTACATTTAAGGGTTTTCTGTCTCTTTTATGAGATTGAAAAGCTTAGCATGTTGACATGCTTCAGATACACATTTTGGTTTATATGAAACAGAACCCCAAACCTACAGTATCTACTTGTAAATAGTATTGTTTCCTCACAGATGAAACTGGTTTAAAAAAAACAAAAGAATATCAAGCATACACAAGGAACTTTAGCTTCCCTTCCAACAGAGATCAGAATGTGACTGTATTTAAAAAAACAAACAAATAAATCAAAAAAACCCAACCCCCAAAACAAAGTAGTTTAAGAATATCAAGTATTTTTTACTTATGAAATTGAGCTTTATAATGTATGAAGCAGTAACCTTGCTGGCTACATCACTTCCTTTTGGATTTGAAGTGCATTTGAATATGATTATAGAGCTCCTAGGTGCTGCAGTCGCTCCAGTCTAAAGAAGAGCTAGACCATTCCCAGAGGTGCCCAGTGAAGGCCAGGAGGCTGCAGTCGCAAATTCCTGTGCTGGACATTCCAGTAGGACATAAGGAAAAAAAACAAAACTTCACTGTGAGAATAGTTAAGGACTACAACAGGTTTTCCAGAGAAACTGAGGAAGCTGTATTGTTTGAGATCTTCAAAACTCAACAAGGCCCTTAGCAACCTGGTTGAACTTTGAAGTTAACGCTACTTTGAGAATGGGTTTGGACTAGACAATGTCCAAAAGTCACTTCCCCCTAAATTTTTCTTGGGGTCTATAAAATCTGTAATAGCCTGAAAATATCACAGCAGTCTCTGTAGGAAAAACTGGTGTGTATTCAGAACTTCTACCTCTGAAATCAGTGTGGTGCAAGGTAGTATGTATGTCAAACCCAGGACAATGTATTATGGAATATGCTCATGCAGGGCTTCTTATTCTTTAATCCATTTTAAATTAAATTACATTTTGAATTTACACAGCTTTCTGTCAATTAAGAGAAGTAGTGATTTGATGACAGTCTTCATCATAGAAGAATGTAAGATCTTTTTTAAAACAATGAACGGTTGGCTTTGCAAATAACTGGATAGCCTGCATAGCAGATAGGTTCTTTATAGTGTTGACTGCAAGGGACAAAATGTCTTTTATATGTTGAGAAATGGGCACTTGGTACTTGTTTTCTACTTCAAGGAGCTGTAAACCCAAACATGAGCTCACAAAAAGAGCAAAGTGCAGGCTTCGTATCCTATTTGTTATATATTTATGTAACTAAATATTTTTATGGTAAAAAAAATGTACTTGCCTAGAATTTTCATTGAATGTTGTGGTGATATAAAGGTTAGAGTTGAAAAAATCACATCTCAGATGTTCAGGTTTCATAATTTTCTGACTATCCATTTGCATATATTCTGATCTAACACCTACCCTGTATCTTTTAGTTTAGATGCTTTGTGCTTTAGCTTTTTAAACCCTTTTGGAGGATGTCACTATCCCAGTTCCTAATCCTGTTAACTGTTGTCTGTTTCTTTTGCCCTTCCTTCACTGATGATTCCTGTGTTCCTTAATGCAGTGTCATGTAAGTCTAACTAGCTTGACTTTCAGCATTACTGCTTTATTCTTACGCTTTTTTCCTCTTCTTTTTAATAAAGAATGTGCTAAAAAAAACTTTCTGAATTCCACTAGATTTGTAAATATATCAATATTGGGCTCATTCAAGCCAATTAAGAATTGATATGATGCTTTTGTAGATGTCCATTTCATGCATAAGATCATGTCAGGTATATACTCGTATGAAAAGCTAGCATGTAATCAAAATTCAGAAGCTACTTTGTTGTATTTCTTAAAAAAATAATTTAAAAAAATTGGTAACTGATTTTTTTCTTTTTAACAATTTCTCTTCAGTGGACAACCAACCTATGCTGCATTACATTAGAGATAAAACTGCTGTCCCTTATTTCTCCAACCTCGTTTGGTTTATCGGAAGCCACGTGATAGAACTGGATAACTGTGTGCAGACTGATGAAGAGTAAGCTTTTACAAATGCTGGGTATTGAATGGAAATGCTTTACCCAGATGTTGATACTATCTTTATTTTGTCTGTAGTAGTCCATTTAAGTTAGTTTCTGAATATGTTCCCTTGTAGACAGTTCAAGCTCTTCATTCTTGCAAAGTTTTTTAGTGATTCTTTGAATTAATAGTGGTTAGTGCTGTATGCCCTATCTGTGCTAATATCTGTACAAGTAAATTAGTGTTTGGCAACATGCTTTTTCTTCATCTTTGTTTTAATTCTGCTAAATTTAGTAGATACCTTCAAGACACAAAAGGTACTTTGTGCTTCTCAATCTTATTAAATTTGTCTTTTTAATGCTCCTTTTCTGTGTATCATCTCAGTAGAACAGCTTTCTGAAAAGATGCTAGGAAAAAAATGTAAACTGGAAAGGTGAACTTTATTTAATATGAGAACTGTCAGACCTGAAATTCCTGTGTAATATTCCACTATCAACTACAGAAATATTTTGTTGATTCAGGTTATTCTTGGTTTGCCTTCCCACCCCCACCTTAGAATGGGTGGCTGTTTCTTGCTTTCTTAAAGTGAAGAGGTAGACATTAAATACAACATAGATTTCTTCTTTTACTTTCGGAAACAAATCTTACCACTTTTTATGGTTGGCTTGTGAAAAGACTGTGGCAACGGAAAGCGAAATTTTGTAAAAACACTGCTTTTGAAAACTTGGGGAAAAACTTGATATGTGCATCCTAAAGCACGTACAAGCCTGAATACTGTTTGCTAGCTGCATTAGTTGACTTTACTGAAAACACCTTCTTTAGGCAGTCTGCACAAGGTGGTCTGTGGAAAAGATGCACATTAATTCTTTCCTTAAGTTTTTAAGACTTTGACAATTGATTGTATCTGAGACTTTCTTTCTGCTGTCTTTTTCAGGCACAGAAATAGGGGCAAACTGAGTGACCTGGTAGCAGAACATCTTGACCATTTACATTACCTTAATGATATCCTTATAATTAATTGTGAATTTTTAAATGATGTGCTGACAGACCACCTACTTAATAGGCTCTTTCTTCCCCTCTATGTGTATTCGTTAGTAAATCAAGATAAGGTAAGCTAATACCTGCAAACAATTAAGTCTTAGAGGTATTACTTGCTTTCAGTATGCATAATGATTTGTTCAGCTGGTGTATTCTGTAGTAGGGTTAATACTGTCAATATCTATGTTTGTGTGTTTTACGTGAAACAGCTTAAATAAGGTGACTGCAGGGAGAATACCCTGAGACTGAATTTAAGGGCAGAACAGATGAAACTTTATTCACCACATAAGTACTGTTTTGGATTACATGGTTGTTAAATGCTAATAATAGTGGAGATGAGAAGAGCTGCAAATTTGGAACAGGGTTTCAATTTCTCTGACACTGGGAGATGTGTGATTTGCTGTTCTGGTATGGTAACTGGTATCCTGGCAAAAGCAGATTATAATACCTTTTCGTAGTATATGCGTAAATTTTCCATGGTGTAAAAATTCACTCCAGGTAGAAAATATAAACTGTTGGTTTTGATACTTGGTTCTATTTGCAGATAAGCTGTGTTTGAATGTGATAAAGTTGAATTTATTTTTAAAGCATAGCCTTTAAATTTAGTGGAAAGCTAATTTTTAATGAAATAGAAACTGTTCTTTTAAAAGTTGTACAGGTTCCTGTATTCACTTGTCTTTTAAAAAAAACAAATTCAATGTTGTTTTTATTCCTGGGTTCCCCTTCCCCCTTCTTAATTTTCTGTAGTGGTGTTTGTTCTTAAGATACACAATGCTTTGTGAATTTCAGCATACTTTCATTAACTAGAGGTCAGGTTTACTGCAAGTTAGTGCACATGCAGTATGCTAAATTCATTGAAGATTGAATAACAATCAGCTGCTTGTCTTGCCATTGAAATAGGGTGAAGCTTTTACTTTCATTTCAGCTGTTCTAACTATTTCTATTCATGCATGTACAAAAATCTGCTTGTCCTCCTGTTTTCAGGCAGATGTATCTATTATCATGAGGTCAGAGATACTTGCGATCATAAAATTGGGCTGTTCTTACCTCTTGAGATAACTGATGAATTTATTTGATGATGATTTTTAAAGTATCACTGATTTATTTTTAGAAACATTTTCATTACTACTGGTATATAAATTTAGTACTGTTGTGCTCAAGTTTTATATTTCAAATATTTTTGTCCAATGTGATTTACTTGATTTAGAGAAGCATCTGTCAAGAACGTGTTTTTATTATGTGGGTAATATTTCATTGTTTCTGAATAGCTAATTTTTAGAGCAGACTTCAATGAATGTTAACTGAGAAGTACTTTTTGAAGGAATAGTAGCATAGTGAAAACCAAGATACTTCTCAATACTCATCTGTTAAGTTACCGAAGTGATGCTGAAAGACAGTAATCAACAGCCATTTTTTAAACATGTAGAGTAAGCGACTCTTGGAGAGTCTTCATTTGAAATAGTTTACAAGAAGTGAATGTTAAAGAGCATGATGCTTTCTGAATATTTTGTAGCAGAATGAGGAACAATAATATATTAGAAGTTTTGTTTTAAATAAAATATTAAACAGTGTAAATGCTTTAACTTTGTATAAATAAATTGGCTTTTTTCATAATGTTTTTTTCCATAGGGTGGAGAGCGTCCAAAAATAAGTCTCCAAGTTTCTCTCTACCTTCTTTCTCAAGTAAGTATTAAGTATTTTGTCCTATTTCAGGACATGTTTTGCAGTAGTGTTATGGTTTATGAATTGCTGTATTTTCATCTATTTTGGCAAAGCCATTAAAGGCAATTTGGCAAATGAAATTTTGAACCTATCAGTTTCCACTTTAAAAAAAAAAAAAAAAGGGCAAAAAAGCAAGATCATTTGTCTTTTTATGGACAGACAAAATAGCTTCTTACTTGAGTTAATGTCATTCTTCTGAGGATCCCATAGCACAGGGTAGCCTTTAGAGCATTCAGTGATTATAGTTTATGTACACCGCCTGACAAATAGTGCATAGTAGAGCCATGCAACATGCTAGGACAGAATTTAGTAACATTGCAGGTGAAATTTAGATAGATGCTGTATTGCACTTTAAATCTGCCTAAGCTATGGAAGATTCCAGGTTTGAATTTTCCTCTTTGAAAAATAGAGGGAGCAATGATCTCATGGGTTTTTTTATTTAAAAAAAAAACAAAACAAACAAACCCCCCAAAAATACCACCACCAAAAACTCAAACTTTCTTACAATTTGAATTTCATTATGCCTGATGAATTAAATCTGTAATTAAGTACTTGTTATTTCTTATTCTTACCAGTCCCACCTCCTTTTCTTTATGGAATTTATTTTCAAATGAAGAGAGTTTTACAGTGGATTTTTTATTTTATTGTAGAGAAAAATAATCTTTTCTCCCTGTAGTCTTCAGTGCATTGCTACAAGACTAGTTTTCTTAAATTACATTCTTAGAAATTAGTTTTGACTTGTATTCATAGAATTTATATTTTTTTTTTTTCTTTGAACTTATGATTTTTACGTTAGTCATTTTATTATGGTCTGGCCCATAATTGCATCTTCTTTTTTTAAGAACTTTTCTGAAAAATGTGATTTTTCAGGTTAATATAATTTGATGCTTCTTAATTTAAACCTAAAAAATTGTGATGTTGTGGGAGTTACTTACCGGAGGAAAAACCTTGGGAGCAACAGCTTCTTGTAACTAAAGGGATCTGCATCATAGAGTTTTATATGTTGACCTCTTTTAACCTCTTTGATTCCAGTGGAAGTATTGGCTAGGTATTACTTCAAGGTTTTGCATCTATGTTCTTTATTGTTTTTAATAAAGAAAATGGAACTTTTTTCCTAAACATAAGGAATTGGGAACAAATTTTGTGTGTCAGAATAGGATGTGATGTAGAAAATCAAGCTACTTTTTCTGTAACTGGCAGAAATGCATCTTTTTCCACCTCTTTCTAACCTAGAGTCTGTCTTTGATGGAGTGGGATCTGAAAAAGTGTACACTGAGTATCTGAAAAACCTTCTTAACTGTTTCTGTTATTGACACCAGACATATGCTTTAGGCATTACTCATGTATTAGAGACAAGTGCTTGAGAGACTCGTACTAGCAGGTGAAAATTCACTGCTATGGATTACCATCCACTGTTCACAAAGTGAATGTGTAGCGTACTTATGCCAAAACACGCCTGTGTATAGTCAAGCTATGCTTTCTGAATTAGAAGAAGCCTGAGTGATTTCTGAGGTTGTTCAAAGTATTTTTGAAGTGTGTTGCGACTTTCCAAAGTTCTACATAGGTCACCACCACATGCTAATAATCACTTCACTTTTGAAGGTCTTGAATGGTTCTGACTTTAATCAGAAAACCTGTGGAGATCATGTTTAGCTAAATATTGTCAAAACAATGATTAGGTTTACTGATTTAGAAATTATTTGGAGATTTTTCAGCTAGAACCACTGTTTAGGGATCCAGCTTTGATATTTCTGTGAAGAGAATGGATATAAGCTGACATAAGGCTATTGCGGCTGGACCTGAGCCGGTTCTGTCTCGATGCCAATTGTTTGCTGGCCCAACCTTGTAAGCCTTGCCTCAAAATAGAGTGGTTAGTGTAAACAGAGCACTCTGTTAAAGCACAAAAGCACTTCTGGATAAGTGCTTTAATGTTATAGGCAGTATGGCCCTTATTCCTGTGTTATTTAGTTGCTTTGTAGCTAGACCATAATTCATTGCGATTTCATAGCCAGAAAAGCTGCTTCTGATCCAGTTCAGCCTATTGCATGACATTTACTCATGAATCACTGCAAAGTAATTGTGTGCACAACACAGAACTTACTGGAGTCCTGCCAGTCACTGGCATACAAGAAGGTCAGTGGATGCTGTGTACCATGATCAGTTTGTGTCGTTTCTCAAAAAAAACTGATTTTCTGGAGCAGTTTTAATTTGGGTTCCTTGCTAGAATATCACACAACTTTCATCTCAAAGCTGATGAGGAGAGAAAATTTACATTTCTCAGGAGGAGGGAAGAGTATGAAGAATTATTAAAACTAGGTAGCTTAAAATGTAGATAAAGGTCAAATACTTGTAGAGGGGATTATGGTCTCCTGTGTTTTGAAGTAGATTTCATGAACTATCAGTGTTACCAATTGTACTTTACTGTATATGTAAACTTAAGATACCAGTTTAACAATGTCAAAGAGGTATGTTCAGTGACTGAAATTGTGAAACTGTATGTGTTCTGTAATACATGTCTGATATTTCTTTCCACCCTTCTTTTAATAGGTTTTTCTAATTATACATTACTCCCCTTTGGTGAACTCATTGGCTGAGGTTATACTTAATGGTGACCTCTCCGTGTTTTCTTCTAAAGTTGAGCAAGATATACAGAAAAACTCAGTAAGTGGCCAACTAATCTTTAATATTTTTTTTTTATGGGCAAAGAAAATATTTGAAAAACAAAATCAGGTATCTGGAAACTGGTAAGCTAAGGTGGTTGTGTTTAGGAGAGAAGAGCAGCAATAGGAGATTTCAGCTTTTGTTGTTGGATATGATAGCAGACAAATGCTCTGTGCAACTTACAGTATTACATTCTTGTCAAAGTTGCAATATTTTTGTGCACGCATATATATTTCGGGTGGTGGTATAATAATGTGTAGGACACAAATTAGAACACTTAGTTGCTTCCGTGGGGGTCAGACACTGCAAAGGCTTCCATCATTTTGATGGGACACTTTTGTAATCCAGTCTTGTGTGTTCAGTTTTTGTTATCAGCGTTTTGGTAGCGAAATAGAAATGAGTCACAACTTTCCTGTGAAATTATTTCCTTATGCAACTTGTAGTAGAAATGAGAGACTTAGAAAAAATACCTGGCCTTATGGTATATCCTTTGGATACAGAAGGAAATAAAGATTTTCATCTGAATATTCCCAGTGTTTTAGCAGTAGAACTGATCATCTCTGAAAGTGTGTGTCAGTGTGCGTAAGAGAATATAGACTAGCCACAAATACATGGGAGTGCTATCACTTTGTCATTGCCCTTGTACCTTCAGATTTAATTCTGTGTAGATGTTGCTAGATGCTGTTGTTAGTGTTTTTCTAAGTGTGTCACGTATATGATTTTTTCCCTTTTGTTGTGGGTTTCACAGTTTGTGAAATGCTTGTTTGTTACTTTCTAAAGGCCTGTTTGGGGATGGTTATAAGAAGAGGGTATGACCTTACTTTGGTTAAGAGGTTTCTGGCTGTAGTTCTGTCTAAAGATTCAACATGTCCCCTAATGTCTGACTGGTCAGCAAACAGTTACTGACTGAATGTTTAATTTATAACAAGCAGTAGATTGGTTCTTATGCACGTTCTTTCCCAGCAGTGGCTATAGCTCTGAGAGTTTCAACTCTTCCATGATACAAGTCAACTTTTCCAAATTTCTTCTTACTGTGCAGTGGAAGCTGTGTGGGCTGATCTTAGCCAGTAGCTTTTGGGTTTTGTTGACCTTGATATTTAGAATCTAATCTTCTTTAGAAAAAACTATAGTGGAATGGTAGAAGTGACTGAATGCTTTAAGATAAAGCAATCTCCTACTTGTGTTAGCAAATGTCTGACCTTCTGCTAGCTGTGTACTGAATGTCGTGTGTGTTACTTGTGCAGAAGCAGCTTTGTTACTAGGAAATTTGTGGCGGGAGGGTGGGGCACCAGTTGTTGCAGAAGTGAGATTTTCTTTTCCTGTCGTAGTTACTGTACAGAGTTGCAAAATATCTGTAGCATATGTTTGTGTGCTTGCACTGATGTTAGGAATATTAGGGGCTTCCTATAAACTTCTGTTCATCTATTCTCTTATGTTTGTAATACTGTTTAGGTTGCTGCTTCTTAGTGGTCTTAAAGATGTGTCCTCATGACATGTAAACTGGGAGTTCTGTCATACCTGAACAGGTAGTAAATAGGAAGGGTATTGGCTTTCTAGGATAGACACTTAGCGAAACTGCTAGAGGTGGAGCTTTGTTACAGGGAGAGCAGAGTGGTGGCACTTTTGGTAGATGAGGAAGAAACTTCCATGGGAGAAACTTTAGTTTTTAGTAAATTCCACCATGTTCTTCAATGAAACCTTGGAGAGGAAAACCTATGCTGTCAGAAAGCCTACTGGTGGAGGTTGGTTATTTGCAGAAAGAGCAGGGAGTAATCTTCAGCAGAAGAGCTCCATGCCCTGCTTCCAGTGAGGGGAGCTATCAAGTTAGCTGCTCTCAGTTGATGAGTATGAACAACTACTGCATATATTGCATGGTGTTTCCTACTGATACACAAAATGCAGTGAGGCTAAAGTCAGCTGTAGTTACGGAGGTATAGACAACTTAAGTAAAGGTGAGGCAGTTTCTTGTTGCTCTGATAGGACGACTTAGAGTAGAAAGTTGATTTTTGAGCATTGCTAACCATTTCAGGGGCTGTTCTTTGCACTATAAGGTGTATCAGGATCATTGCAAAGTTATTACCGTGGTGTATTCTGTTGCAAAGAAATGACAAACTTCTATTGAATAATGGAAGATATTTCAGAAGCTACTTCAGAACTGTTTGTTCTAGGGTTAGTAGAGAAAAGTGATGAGCAAATTTCTTAATTTACTTTTTGACTGAGTTCAAAATTGTGAAGAATTGTGTGTGTTCTTAAATCAGACCCAAATTTATATTTTACTACTTCCTTTCTGTTATAATTTCCCATGGTAATCATTCTGATTCTCTCCTAAGCTTGTTGTTTTGGGGATATCTCTGTGTGTTATGGTGAGCCCCAGTTATCTCTCAACCCCTGCTCTGTACCTAACACTGCTCATATCTAGTAACTGAGACGTCTTGATATATTTAAATTGAAGTGTAACTGTCAGTTTCTAACTAACATGTAGTTTCTAAAACCCAAAGTAAGTAGAACCTCACATCTATATTCATCTTCCTAATAAGATAAATTAAAGTGGAATGAGGTGTAGAGAGTATGGACTGAGATTACCAGAAGCAGGGTCATGTGTCCTCATGATAGGAGACTAAATGAGTAAAGAATACTTAACAAAGCTGAGAAGGGTTGCAGTTGCTGTGTATAAATACAACGTATCCAGAGTTATTTAGGGCAAAAGAGCAATGGTAGTTGTCACAACAGGAACAAATGGTACTTTTTACTGGAAATCAATTTGCGGAAAAAATCACCAGCAGATCTAACTGCTGATACCTTATGAATTGGCAATAACCTACCCATGGAGATCTGCTCAATGTCATAGGGTAGTAATGGTTGCCCAACCTCCATTGAACAGGTTCTCCACCTCAAAGTATAGCAAATTAAGATACACTTTTCTTTCCATGTTTTTCCCTGTATTTCTATTTTTAGATGGCATCAGAAGAAATACTAACTCTTATCTCATGATGAGAGTTGAATATGTGTAGCCAACAGAATGTACTTAAACTTGTTAGCGCTAAGGTTTACCTTACATCCTGTGAGATCTGTTTTCCTGCATAATTCGGATGTGGGCCAGCTCTACCTGTTTCATGTTTCTTGGTTTCTTGTTTAACCTACTTTCTCCTTCCCATAGAAGTTGTTACTGGTACTGCCTTATTTTACCACCACACACTGCACAAGATAAACCATAATTGAAAATACGGTTGAAAGACACTTTAAAAGTATAAAATAGCAGTATCTCAAACTGTATAATCAACTTAGATAAACCATATACTATGGAAATTAATTTTAAGTCTGATTTTAGAATGTTTTAGCCTTGTTATACTTAGCAGAACAGAATATATATCTTGACTTTTTCTCAGTATTCTTTCTTGAGATGGACCAGACCGTGGTGCAGTGCTTATGAGCACACCGCTGTCTAGTGTTCTGTTCTGTTCTTTTGCTCATATGGCTAACAGCATATTAGAAATGCAAGGATGTTAAGTACGTGCATTCCTCATAAAGAAAGTAGCTACAGGATTCTAGGAAGCAATTGTAAGTGAATGCAGGAAGAGGAAAATGCATTATGCGACTTGCATGCTACCTTCCCCCCCCCCAAAGAATAGGACTTAATGTGTTCTTCCCTTTTCTTATGACTTTTCTGACCAGAAGCCATCAGTAAAAGGTAACCTGGTTGTAACTCTGGTTGTTTTATAACCTTCCTATGTTGCAGTTTGATCAGACTAAAAATATATCAGAGAGGTTACTGGGCAACATAAGTGTGGTAAATTTCACATTGTGGGGTTTTTTGGTATTGTGAAAGATTCCTCCTATGGTTTGTTTCAGTGCGAAGTGTAAGGTGACTTTTGTACAATATCTATAAACCTTTTTAAAAAGTCAGAAGATTCAGAGAAACACTTTGGCCTTTTGACTTGTAGAAGGCTTCTTCCCAGATCTTTTCCTAATCTCTTAATAAGGAACATGTATACATAAAAACTAAGTGAAACGAGGGATTTTTCCAAACTTTTTTCTCTGAGGTCTCTTTGATGCACTCATCTTCAATGCTTATTGTACTTGAGTCACTTAAGGCAAGGAATGGAATCAGTTTTGTATTTACTCTAGTCTTACTTCTTTTCTCTTGCTTGCCCTTAAATTTTTAACCCTTTAGCTAGCGTCAACTAAATGTGATTGAAATATTGAGGTCTGAAAGGTAATGAAGGTTCTGTAGCAGTCTTGTTCAGCATAAACCTGCGCTGGCAGGAAGCCCCCAAACCATGTGGTTCAATTCTCAGTAACAGAGAGGTTTGGCTGATCAGTGTTTATAGCTCTGGGTGAGAGAGAGCATTACTCTGGTAATCCGGCTGGCAGGCCTAACAAGTGAGAAGGGAGCTCAAAGCAGCACAGCTCAGAAACAATCTGCAAAATTGTAGGAAACCAAGTTTTGTTAGTCCTGCTAGTCACAGAACTTCTTGTAGTGTCTTGTGTCTTTCTGTAAGAATACATTGTTCTCTGTTGTTAGGATGGCGCAGGCTCTTGGAAATACTTATTTCCTCTGGGAGAAATTTGTCATCTAAATTTATTTTCTTGCCCTGTAAATTAATGATCAGGAAAATCAGGTATTGATTTAATACTGCTTGCCTTCTTGTCCAAAAACAGTGTTTTGACTTGAAAGATAAACTTCTGATATCTTTGGGTAGAACACAAGTATATTAAAGTCTAACAAATGAAATGGTGTTGGTGTTCTGGACTTGGTAAGTCAATGTCTGGAGGCCCAAAAAGGGTTGATGTCAGTGCCATTTATTCCTAGTTGATACAAGGACTAGTATGCTGTTGAGGGAACCTTAAGATTCAAAAAGAGCTCGCGGCATAGAGCATTGGTTTTTGTCCTTGCTACTGCTGAAGACATTTAAAGAGTGTATTTCATATTAATACATTGCTGTCAACACACACTTTGGATTTTGCTGCCTTTATCCTTTTTGCAAAAGGTATCTTAATTTTATATGTACTAGCTGTCTCACCTGTTAAGAAAGTTCAAAGAAGGGAAAAAATATTAATAAACTTCTATTGATAAAATAGGTAGTTCTATATCTTTGTGTCTCAAGATGGCATACTTTGATCTTTAGGATATGCTACTTTGGAGATAATTGTTCTACTGATGATTTAATATAACTTGAGATCTGCTTTCTTGTATTTTTAAAATGGGTTTGAGATTTGTAAGTGGTGTGCTAATTTACATTAGGTTTTTAGAAAACCCTCTTTTATATGGACTGAAGTTTCTTTATCAGTTAGAGTTAAAAATGTCTTGTTGTAACTCAGTGTAAACTCTTCAAATTTACAGGCAAAGTCAAGTATCAGATGTTTCATAAAACCAACAGAAACACTCGAGAGGTCTCTTGAAATTAACAAACAGAAGGGGAAAAAGAGGGTGCAGAAAAGACCCAACTATAAAAATGTTGGGGAAGAAGATGAAGAGGAGAGAGGATCTGAAGATAACCAAGATGATCTAGATAAAACTAAAGGTACAGAAGCGAGTTCAAAGGGCATCAGAACAAGCAGTGAAAACGAAGGTGAGTATACCAGCAAATAAAAATGATGCTTACAATTTGGATACTTTTATTTACTGCATGGACCTAGTTGTGATCTGTTACGTGACTTGTTCTCTTGTTGCACTAGGTAAACATGGGACTATTAAATTTGTTTCAGTCTCTGGCTGTATTTTTTTTTCCTCATGTTAAATCATTCTGTCAGAACATTTACTTCTAATCTGATTAGAAACTATGAAAGTGTTTTCATATCTTCCTGTAGTCTTCAGCCCTTATCACAAATGCAAGCCTTGCACCTAGGTGTACATGATTATGGAGCACTTTATAAGTAGGCTTCACAACTTTGTAACTTTTCCTTCTGTGGTAAGGCAAATGGTGTAGCCACTTTACCTTTGTAAGATGGCTGGGAGTATTTTATGCATGTTTCAATGATAAAATTCAACAAGTGTGCTAAAAGTGACAGTACATGGTAGAAGATGATATTAAATAGTTCAGAACTGAAGAAAACGTCTTTAACTTCTGAAGTTTATTAATTGCACGTTTTCAGGATCTTTGACATAATGCTAACCTTAAGAAGAATTGGTTTTATAGGATGAGTGGTCTTAGAGCATATCGTAACTATTTATTTTTCTAGTTAGTAACTATTAGAAGGATGTACATCAGAAACTAGTCTTTACTTTAGCCATAAATTGAGGAAAAATGTGGCGGAATTGCATGCAAGCAATTGAAAACAAGACCTTTACGCTTTGACAGCCTCTCCAAACATAGTTGCATTTTGGTTTAGGTAAACAGTCTGTTTGAGAAGGCTTTCCTTAAATGGTGTCAAATAACTGATGTATTGTCTACCATGATTTGAAGAAAATATGACATGACCTACTGTTTAAACTGGTGCATTTAGTAGTCATCTTTGTCCAAATTCTTAAGCAAAAGCTAGATTGGGTCCTAATACTTCTACTTAAAGCCAATAGTTAAGAAGCACTCGGGACCGGGTATCCTGTTTGCTGTAATTGCAGAGACCTATTTACACCCTCTATGAAACTTGATGTCCACCCATGCCCCAAATTCACCAGCATTTTCACAAAGAAATTTTTTTTCCAGAAAGAGGTTCTATGTGTTTTCGTCCTGTGGTTTGGAGGGGAGGGGGATTACTGTTGCTTGTTTATTTGCCAAAATAATCTGTGTATTTTCTTTACATATGTATATGTGTAATTTTCTTATAGCAGTTAAATTCCCTAAAGAAATGTAAGCAAATTTCTTTATTGGGAGGAAAACTTGCCTACATCTATTCATTCATTAACCTTTCTGAGGTTATGGTTATACCTCTTATATATAGTTGCATCAGTCACTTTTAATGCAAAACGGAAAATACGAAGGAGCTTGTGATAACTGTTTGTTAAAAATATCAAATTTTGGTGGGTTTTTTGTTTTTGTTTTAGAAATAGAGATGGTAATAATGGAGAGATGTAAACTGTCAGAATTGTCTATCTCTACTGTGACAGAACAGAACACAACAGATGAAGAAAAGAGTGCAGCTGCCTCTGGGAGTGAGATAACAAACTGGAACAGGTATAAAGGAACTGTAATATATTTTGCTGGATTGCTTCCTTACTTGCCCTCCCGTTAACTCTCACTTCTCTTAAGGGATGTTTCAAATCTGCCTCCAATTAAAATTACTGAAGTTCTTGTGGATCACAAATAAGTGAGGCAACAGAAAAATGGGATATGGCCTCTCTACTGATCAGTTTGGGAAATGGTCCTGTTCCTTTGTAAAGTTTGTGCTTTCCTTTATGGCAATTGTGATGCCTTAAGTTGGTAAAGTTAAATTACAGAATATTAACCCAATAAAACCAGAATATAAATGTTTTCATTCCAGAATTTTCTAAGCCTCTAAATTAAGCCAGAAGAAGTTTTCTTAATGATATTTATGGTCACATCTGTCAATTTTGCATACACCCATAGGGAAAAAACAAGGAAATTTCCTCAGTTCAGGGCTGAATTTTGCAGAATTGTAGTAGTAGTAGTAGTAGTAGTAACGAACAAACCCTGCTAACCTATGTACGGACGAACAACCAAGATCTGTTAGTATATCTTAGGGTTATTGAAAACTTTTCTTGGAAATGCAGTTTTTAAGTGTTTCTGGGAGCAGAAATTGCCCTGCCTTCAAAATTTAAACTTGGATATATTAAATACCCATAAGACATTATCTCAGTAAGAATTTTGCGTTCTTGTTATTAGAATGCTAAAGAAAAGAAACCGAACGTGCCATCCCTGACACAAAAGTAATTGCAAATGTGTCTCCTGGGAAATGCACATGTTTAATAGGATTTCAAATTTATTTTTAAACTTGGGAAATGCTGCCTGGTATTTCCAGAATTTCATTCTGTCTCCATTATAACTTTTATGTAGCTTAGATTACATTCATTAATAAAGATAACATTTAATTTCATTGTAAAAGTGAAATCCAACCTCGACTTGAACTGGCTTTAAAATACATTGTTCTAGATTATTGATATTTTGACTAAAATATGTGCCAAATGGCTTTTAGAAAGAAATTGGCAATGACTGCATTGAATACTAGAGCAACTAGGATGCTCAGGTCTTGAAATGTGCAACATACTTACATGTGAGATGCCAATGCATTTGGCAAATGTCTGCATTTCAGGACCCTTGATCTGCAGATATGATCTGACAGTATACTGCATCTTTTCTAAAAATAAACAGCATCAAAGAATTTGCAGAGCTAAAAATATTTTTAAAATAAGGATAGACATTGTGTAGGGCATTTTGGCCTTAGTTTTGTACATGAATTTTTGGAAATATAGGTGGATAAGCTGCTGTAGCTTAAAATTTTGTGTTATTCCATATGCCAAATGTAGTATTTGAAACAGTAGCTAAATCTCTCAAGAAATTTGCTCAGGTGTGTATAGCTTCTTTCTTACACTGATTGGAATCACTGAGCCTTGTGGATAAGGTGCCATGTGGTAGTGGAAAATGCAGTGATCTTTTATTCCATGCTTGAAGTGGGAGAAACTTCCATAATTGGAATAATCATTAATGATTGTGATAATAGTGATTCCTAATGTGTTGCAGTCTTCAATTGTGGACACACTCCACAAGAATAAGTAATTTGAAGAATACTTGTATGGCATTTGATCTGTTTCTTCTATCAAGTCACTAGTAAAAGGCTAGTGAAGGAGGAAAATGCTTACAGAGTTAAGAAATACATTTGAAAATACTTGCCATATAGCCTTTAATGTTAAAAGTGTTTTTTAAAAATTGTCCAATATTTGTTGAAAATTAAAATGGAAAACAGTACAGTTTGCAGTTAAAAATCTGTAGCTGTAAAAGGTAAGTCAAGTTTTCAATTCCCCCTGGCCCTTTTACTACTGTGAAGAACATACAAGAGAAAGTTTAATTTTTTGGGGTGTAATTTCATTTTGATGTGCCTCACTACTGGAAAGTTTAAGCCTAAAGGCTTGTTTTAAATTAACTTCCTTTTATGATATTTTAAATAGCAAAATTTTTTCCAGAATGTGAAACCTTCATGCTATGTTGTGCCTTCTGTTGCTGCTTTCTTACAGCTGAAGTTTTTCTGGGTCTATCCTGTATTTAGTCTATATGAGGACCTGTTGATGAGTGGGATTCCTAGAAGTTGTTTTGGCTTCAGATTATTGCCATTGAGACTTTGATAATGCAGATAGATAGGTGCTGTGAAGAAGCATCTGGAATGAAAATTATTTCTTTCACTGCTGTAATCATATTTTTTGAAGTTATGTAATTTCACAAATCTAAGTAGTATGTGGGGGAAAAACAATGAAAAATGCATTAGAGATTACAGAAGTCATTTAATACCATGTAATATTGGTGTTAATGGAACAGCTACTGATATTTCTGCAGTTTTGACCTCCTAAAACATTGGTTTTAATAAAATTAAAATAAATATTACTTTTACATCATAGGTCAGTTTTTAGGGTAATTACCACCTATTGTTGGTCTGACAACAGACGTAGTGTTATCTAGCATTTAAGTATTTTAATAATCTTGAACTTGGATATCTTGGTCCTCTTTCTTCTTTAGACCTTGAAGCTCAACTCCCTTTGCTATGTGTAAAGCACCCTGTTTCAGGATGTCATGAGGCTTGTAGGGCTTGTTTAATGCTTAGGAAGACTGAAGGCACTCTTGGTTTATTTTCAACATTGCTAATTCTTTAGGCTATTTTTGCTTGAATAGTGATGTTCTTTTGAGATCTACAATAGGAACATCATGTGGGAAATTTGGCTTAGGTACATACAGCAGTGCTGAACTTGGACAAAGATGGATCATAACTCAGTGGCATTTAAGTTATCATAGAGGATGCTTGTAATCCAGCTTCAGAAATGCACAAACATATGACTGGAATGTCCTGAACTGAGCAGAGGAACAGCGTGTTCTGTTATTCTTGTCATAACCTTGTTTTAGTAAAAGAGAGCATGTTGTTGAAATGTGCGTGGAGCTGATGGGAAGTGTTCAATACATTGTTATGACTTCGGTTGAGTGGCTTACTGGGATACATTAAGTGTGACCATGAGGGCGCCACAGGTCTGGAATAGGTATAGAGGTATGTTGTGTTCTGATCTTTGATAGCCCTTCTGACCCATAGCTAACCACAGCAATGAGTTTGTAGTGGATGCTTCTTGTCTGCTAGGTCTGAAGATAGGAAAATGTATTTGGTTTTATGACTTTGGATGTTATTTCAATGTATTTTATTTGGATGTAATTTAGGTAATGTAAGGATTTTTTTTCCTTTCACTGTTAAAAATACTTTGAGAGGTAGGAATTACCTCTTCTAAATCAAGGTTCTAAACTCTCTTCTTCTGGTGACTCTGACACTTCCCTGATTTTTTTTTTTTTTTGGGTGGGGGGGGTGGGTGTCTGTCTGGGCCACCTGTGAAAATGGATTTAATTTCTACTTGTGCTCTGAACTGATTAGATGCAAGCCAGCTTAAGACAAGAAGCCAAGTTGCCTTGCCATCACGCTTGTGCTAGTATCAGCTGAATGTCAGCCATATCTGATCCGTCTAATCGGCTTCTGGATTAAATTGACTTTTCTGGTCTGCTCAGGGTACAGGTGAAGGGTGAACTTGGCACTGTTGGTAGCTTCTTGTGTATATGTCGTAGGTCACACATGCTTAAACCCAGGAAAACAAAGCTCATCTGTAGTCCAAAACTTTCTTTTTTCCATTCAAATGTTCCTTCCTTGTTTGTTTTCCTTTCTTATAACTGTTCAACAGTAAAGTTTTTGACCGATTGTTTTAGAATAACATAGCTTCCTCCAAACTTTGAAAACTGCTTTATTGTAACAGTAAAAACTTTTAGTACATGAGTTTTAAGGTAGTCTTTTTTTTTTATGCAACAGTGATAGCAGCTCCTTGAACTTACTTATGTATACACTTAAAACAAGCTGTACAACGCTTCTGCATACATACTAAATGTGCTACACACAACCCAGTAAATGTGTGACAAACCAATTCTTGGGAAAGTATTATGTAACAAATCCCATTAAAACATTAGAATTAATACCAGAATGTAAATACAAGGCATGGCCATAATCTGAGTACTCTTTAACAGGTTAAGTTTTGTTTAATGCCTGAAAATGTGCATTACTGTAAATTTGCCTCTTCATTAGCTACATGTAGAACAAGATAGTTACTCATTTTTCTGTAGATATGGTCTTTTTCTTCTTAACCGTTATAAAACTATTCCTTTCCACAGGCTTTTCTTGATTATGGTCTATAATGCACTGGATTGTTAATGCACTGTTTTGTGCTGAAGATGATTACTATGCCCTCTTTGTGCTCTGTCTTCTATATGCAATGTCACACAACAAAGGTAAGCAATTTTTGCTTTTTCCAGAGGAAACTAAATGAGACACATGGTTTTAGACAGGCATGATCTGTTTGTAACATGTTTATGCATGTCTTAAACGGTGAGAAATTCTTTATATGGGGGAGGGAAAAATAAGTATGCTCTAAGTAAAAACAGTTGCTAAGGATCACCTTTTTAAGAATAGTTTGGTAGAAAGCTTTGTGAAGATCAGGTAACTTTTCTTCCATAGGTTTCTTGGAATTGGAATAGGATTATTGTGTTTCATTTTTAATCTCTTAATTTCAGTTGAAGCCCACTATATTCAATCTACACATATATATGGGATCCAATTCTTTCCCACTTTGCATGTACTGTGTTAGCTCATGTAAGCCAAATATAAAATGTTGTAAAACTTGTCCCCATATGTTAAAATGAAATCTTTGTATAGTTTAAGCTTATAGATAATTCACAAGGCCTGAGAATCAGATGTGATTATGGAAGTCATGCGTTGCCTATTTCTATCCAGCTTTGACAGTGCTTCAGTAACTCTTTTTATACTGTGCAATTCCTCAACAGCCTTCTCATCCATCGTGCCGTAATTGATTGAAAGCTTGTTTAAGTTGTCAGTGTTCTATGCCATAATACATCTTGCAAGTCTCCCAAAGAGCCTGGACTATTTTATAAACTAGCAAAACTATGCTAAATGTGTACTTCATTATAATTCGGACAGTATGAGAATATGTAACCTTTTCTAAGGGATGATTATGGTTAGCTTTTTTGCTGTTTATCTTTGTGTGCATTTTAAATAGATTCCTTATGGAGCAATAATATAAACATCTCATACATGTGAATAATCGTGTGTTTCAGGAATCAAGAGCTGAATTTAAGTTATTTTCTGCCTATGAGGATAGTTCCTATAACATACTAGTGATTTAAGTGAATCAACTGCTACAGTAAACTGAGCAAAAGAGCATCAGGTGTGATGGCATGCTTAAAAGTAAGGATTCTGTTCTAGCTTCAAGCTACCTCTAATGGAAAAGTAGAGTGGAAATGAGAGTCTTGAGGGAACCAGCTAAGCTGAGCCCCTCCTGTTCTCCTCCATCCTCTTGATGGCTTTATCTTTTCCCAGGAATGAAGGAATGCTTCTCCGAGATTATAATTTGCAGACAATTTCAGGGTTTTCAGTCTCTTACGACAAGAGATGATGCAACTAATACCACCAAAGATAGCACCACAGCCTTGCCATGCTCTAGCCCTCTCTGACTTGCATCTCTGATTTCCCACCCGCCCCTGCAACCAGTATACTTCTTCCAGAAGTCCAAGGGACTTTTGAGCATCACTGTACTAGAAAACCCTGATGTCAGAGGTGGATTCTCTCCTCTTAAAATTCATTAGTTGAAGCTGTGAATAGCCAGAATCATTAGTTGTAACTGTTGTAGCTTCAGAGAGTCCCCAGAAGTCTTTCAATATCATTGTAAAGGAGTAAGCCTGCACTCTAGGGTTGTATTTCTTAAGAATTCTTCTATTTAAGACCATAGTCCTTCAGCCCACTGTATTTGCTTTCAGTGTAATTAGTCACTCTTCAATATCCTGTTCCCAGAAAAAGTCTGACATCCTCTCTTGTTTCAAAGATGATTTGCTTACATCTATAGCATTGCTGTAAACAGTGAGGTACGCAGCAGATGCAGCCTCTTGCGGCTTAGTTTCAGCAATCTCTGTGCAGTTTATTTTTCACCCGATATCCAGAGTTACCAAGAGAAATACAACAGGCAGTGAAATATCTACCTTTTAAGAGACTAAAAGTATCCTGGCCCTAAAACTGGAGATACCTTTTATGCATTTAGGGGGTCAAAATCTACATTCTTTGGTGGTCACATCAGCCCTCTCTAAATGAAAAACTCTTATGCTATACTCATTGGCTTTCCTTGACAACAATTTATATTGGCCTGTTGCTCTTTGGAAGCTATTTTCCTTTCTCCCCCTATCCTTGACCCTAGATCTTACGTGCTAGACAGATGAGATCCAGTTTTGGTCTTCAGTGTCTTTCACCAACCCACTCCTCTTGTGCCCTTTAATAGGCTGCTTTCAGCCTTGGGGGCCACAGAATCAGTGCCTCTGTGTCTTGAAGAGCAGGGATTTTACAAGCTGCTGATTCAGTGCCCCTGTTTGATGCAAGAGCAGAATGTTCTTTGAAAGCTCAGGAGCTGTACAGCTGCTCCTTTCTACATCAAATTCAATATCAGTCATGGAAGGTGCCTCAGGATTGAGCTGGAGCCAGTGTTTATATCTGAATTCAGTATAATGCAAGAGAGATGTCTGCTTACAGACTTTCTCAAGGTATGGGTCAATAATCCTTTTCTTTTACAAAAGGGCATGAAGGTCTCTCTCCAAACATGGAGAGGCCATGTTGTTTCCCCAGTTTCAGGAAGTAATAAATCTCTAGGAGTTGTGTGTCTAGGATCTGATTGTCTATTTACTGTCTATCTGACAGAGATGGTAAATGCTCTAGGGAGCACTTGAATCAGTTCAAACAAACAGGTAATGAATTGGGAATTTTAGGATGGTTTCTTGTGACTGAATGCAACACAAGCTTGTCTTCTCTACACCACAGGAAAATGAGTTGCAGTTTTCTATTTCAGTATATTGGCTGTTTCAGATATGCTTCTGATTCTCTAGCTGGTCAGTTTGAATTTCACCTTCCCCCCTCATTCTGATACTGTGGAGAAGTCTACAACAGAACACATTCAGAAAAATCTGAATTGCCCTAGCTTATCCAAGAACTTTGGTTTCAGGCCTTGCCTCTAAGGGAGCAGCCTTCTCAGTCTCTGTTGCTAAATGTAGACACCCTATTGAGGCTTTTGATCATGACTCCTTCCATTTGGATACCAAGTCTGCATTTTGCACCATGTTCTTGAATGAGTTTAAAGAAATTGTGCTTGTTTTTCACGAGCAAGAAATATCTGTGTGAACAGGAAGAAAGAATCCGAAGAGGTACATGTATGCAGCTAAACAAATTTGTTGCAAATTGTATCTGAGATATTTTTTTTTTTAATCCCAGAAGGAGCCATTCATATATATTGTTAGAGCATGTACTGTATCTCAAGAACGCAGAATTCTGCATCCTTCGCAGACAGGCAACCAAATGAAAGATGCTGAATATGAATTCTTTCACTGTGATTTCAATTTGGCCACTTTGAACACCTGCCTGGTCCTGCCTCATTCCTCCCCCATGTTTTCTGCTGGTTAATGACCATGTTCTTCTGTGAGAACTTAATTTGCATATAGATATTCTCTGTGTTACTCATAAGCAGCTTTCCTTTCCAGAAGGAAAACTGTAGCTCTTTACTAAACTGTTAGATTGTTGTGAACACTAATACTCTGATTGCCCTGCTTCCTTCCTCCCCCCACCCCTTTCTTCAGTCTCATCAAGACAGAGAACATTTGTATCATTGTCATTAATCTTCAAACAGACCTTTATTAATTGTTCCAAATACATATGCTTAGTGAAGAAATAAATAAGATATCACAAATGGCATTATGTAGAGTTAACTACAAGTTCAGGGTTGGAAGAAACTATAAACCACAATATAGTCATCTTCTGTTTTATGGGGTTGTTTATTACTGTTCTTTAGAACAAGGACAGGAAGATCCTCAGCAATCCATAACTGTGTTTTGTTCTTAGAAGTCTTACAGTAACCAGTCTGTTCTGAGAAATAACTTTGCTATTTTAGAGGAATAGTTGAAGAAAGATGGGTTGAGTTTCCTTACACAACAAGTCAGTGAGAATCCGAGACTTGTGTTGGGGAGGGTACTAAATAAGAGGCTACTAGTTACAAAATAAAATTCCTATTTTTTTAAAACATATATGAACTGATCACTTACTACCAAAGCGGAATTTAAAATCAAACTTTTATCTTTTCCCCTTTAGCCTTTATGCTCTTCAGATGTAGATGCAAACAAATAGTCTGAGAATTCTAGATGCTGCAAAATGGTTTGGATGTCACCAACCGCTTTGGGATTTGAGTGTCTTCACCCAGTAGGCTCCATTTAAGGCTGAGATTTTTCAGTGATACATAAATGCGTTTAGTCTTTCTGTTGTTCCTCCTTTTTCTTGTAATAGAAATTCAAAACTAACTTGCCCAGTTTTGTATTGCTAATTGCACTGTTCTGAGAAAACTGCTACAGTCTATTAAATACTTACCTCGAGGCATACTCCTGTTTTCTAACTTAGCTTTCTTCCTTCATCCCCCACAAAAGGAATTGACCCAGTCAAGCTGGAGAGAATTCAACTTCCAGCTCAACATGCTGAAGAGAGAAATTCATATAATCATGTGCTTGCAGAAGGGCTCATCAGGATAATGAATTATGCTGCACAACCAGGTATCACTTTTCCAATATTTGTTTTCTTGCCAAGCTGAAATTTCTGAAGATTTTTTTTTTAAAAAAAAAGCTACCTAGCCTCTTGTCTTTGAGGGGAAAGCGTCTGTTTAGCATGCTCTTCGATGAACAATAAGTAGATACGGTCTGTGAAAGACAACTATCAGGTTTTCCTTGCTTGTTGAGGAACCAGAAACTATGGATTTCTGCTGAATAGTTGTTTTTATACTCAGAACTATACAGGATCTGTTGTCTTAATTCCTACTTCCTGTGTTTTTGAATAAACAAAAATGATGATGTATAGTGATTTCAGCTTAATGTAGGATTTTGTCCTAAAAATATGATCTGTGGCACTTTTGATTGTAAAAGTAATTCCAGTGGAGAAGTAGTCTTGAAAACTATATGGTACCCTTTGCTTATAGGAGTCATTTGTCTCTAGAGGCAATAGCAAACTTTCCCATGATTTTTTTTTTAATCGCAGATTGTATTTTCAGTTCTGAACTGTTTTGCAGAAAATGTGGGTTTTCTTCCTGACTTCAACTTTTTTTGTGAAATGAGGGATATAAGGCTCAGTGACCTATTCCACAGAAACATGATTTTTGTTCAAGCCACAGCTTTTCTCCCTGCACTTCCCCTCTTAAAACTTCAAATGAGTAGAACTGGTTTTCCCCTGAAACTGACGCACTATCAAATTCCTGATTGTCTGCAGAATAAAATCTAACGCTTATTTGACTCGCAAGACTGATCTATAGAGTATTAACTTGTTATGCTGATGTGCCTGTCACAGATTAAAAGCACGTTTATATATAAAGAGTTTGTACATACTGGAGAAGGAAAGAGTGCAAGATGAGGAAATGCATTTATTTAAACGGAAGCACTTCTGGGGAGGGGTGGAAATAGTGGGGTTTTATTAAGCTTGCTAAATGCTGTGTAGAACATCTCCTTTTCTCTTCTTTTTGGGGGTACTGACCTTTGTATCTTTAGTTTCTGGCAGCATAGTGCTAACTTGTAAAATAGTAGATGGGAGTTGGGGTCAAACTGTCTCTTGGGTATATTGTCTTAGTATTGATCACTGAGCTCAGACTGTACATTTCTAATATCTTTTCTTTTTTACATCCGTCTGAAACTGTAAGCTTAAAATCTCAATGCATTCTTTCAGTCTGACTTCTCTAGATTCTTGCATCCAGGCTGTATCTGAATCCTTTTTTTAAGGAAAAGCTATGCCTTATTAGTATGCTATATACAAAACTTCCTTTCATCTTGTAACTTTATCCATGCCAAACGTGATTCTTTTGTAGTTTTAGATTGATAAAGGCATTGGTTTTGGCTTGTTTTCTAATAGTATTAATCTTTATTGCCTTCTTATTGCATGGTTCTGCTTTAAATTTTCTTCTACTTTAAATTACTCTTCCAGGTTTTTTTTATAGCCATCAGCACTCATCCTTGCCAGATAGGGTGTGTATGATAGAGGAGCAAAGTTTATGACAATTGCAGAGAAGAGTAGAAACATTTTAAGAACATTGGGTAATGAGAAGAGCAATACTTAAACTGCTACTATTTTGTATATTGAAATTTTCTTTTCATAGATGGAAAAATCCGTTTGGCAACTTTAGAACTTGGCTGCCTGTTGCTGAAGCAGCTTGTGTTTTCTAAAAATGGCAGCATCATAAAAGATGTTCACCTTGCTTGCCTTGAGGTAAGTATTTTCTTTCAAATTAGGAGTCACAGCATTACTTATCTTTGAGTCTTGTAGCATAGTTGAATAAATTCGTTTCATTTTTGATTGCAATAAGCATAAATGTGAAATTTGAGCTTCTAGAACATCTTTCCATTGGTGGCTCTGTGCAGTGAACACGAAGAATCAATACCCCATGTTCTGTTCTCAGCTTTGCTGTTACCTTGCTATTTAAACTCTTAACTTCTCAAGCAGGGTCATGTTTAATTTTCTCTCTGAAATTTGTACGTCATCTATCTCAAAAATGTAAAGAAAAGTGCTTTTGAAACAAGCTCACATAAGCTGTATTTTCATAAGTGCAAGAACTATATTCTATCAAATTCTGGGCTGAAGTCTATGAGTGTGAGGGTATTAATAGACAGTCTCTTCTGTATGAATTTTGGGGTTTTCTTAAATGTGACTTTTGAGTAAATGGTGTATTTACTCCCTGAAACACAGTTATTTTATCTTTTCTAGGGTGCAAGGGAAGAAAGTGTTCATCTCCTCCGTCGTTTCTATAAGGTATATATGCAAAATGCTGTAAGAAAAAATCCTTTACATAATGTAGAATTAGAAGCAAGTCTGCAGCCCAGTCTCTATGTAGTGCCCAAGGCAGCACTTCTTCTAAGGTGGGAACTCCATATTTGTGATAGAGAAGGAAGTGTTTTGTTGCAGGATTCCTGTCCTTTCCTGCCCTTCCTATACCACACTAACATACGTCACAAAAAGGCTGTTAGAAGTCTCATAGGGTTTGTACTGGAGGTCAAGTTAGCAGTCGTGCTTTTGTTGCAACTGCGATGTATTTCATGGAACAGAGCCATACTATTAGAAGGTTTGTGGGATTTTATCATTGACACTAATATGGAATGTGTTTCTTTTTGGCATTACTTTTTTTGTGTCTTATCTGAAATGATGATCTAAAATTTTACTTAATCTTTTTTTCTTATTGGAGATCTCTGCAGCTTTTTGCCTTTTTTTTGTGTTGTAAACAATGACAGAAATAAAATTTTTAGCCCTAGGCGTTACTTCTGTATAAGGAGCAGTAAATCCATGAGAGATTTCAAGTGTTTAAAATCTCTTCCTATTTTTGTTAGAATTCTCTTGAAGAATGTTTTCTCAAATGTGGCTTACAGAAAATAAGTAACTTGTGGTGGGTTGGCCTTGGCTGGCTGCCAAATGTCCACCCAGCCGCTCTCTCACTCCCTCTCCTCAACAGGATGGAGGGAGAATCTAAGATGAAAAAAATCTTGTGGTTGAGGTGAAGACAGGGAGATCACTTACCAATTACAGTCATGGGCAAAACAGACCCAACTTGGTGAAAATTAATTTATTGCCAGTTAAAATAAATCTAGATAGTGAGAAACAAAGACAAATTAAAACAACACCTTCCCCCACCGCCCCCTTTTCCCAGGCTCAACTTCTCTCCTTCATTCCTGACTCTTGTGCCTTCTACCCCTGCTGAGTGGTGCAGGGGAGATGGGAAATAGGGGTTTGGGGTGAGTCCATAACAGTTTGTCTCTGCTGCTTCTTCATCCTTACACTTTTCCCCTGCCCCAATGTGGGTCCTCTCCTCTGTGGGCTGCAGTCCTTCAGGAAAAAAAAAATCTCCTTCAGTGTGGGTCCTCCACAGACTGCAGTTCCTTCAGGGTATATCCACCTGCTCTGATGCTGCAGTGTGGATATCTGCTCCACCATGGTCCTCTCCACGGGCTGCAGAGGAATCTCTCTCCCTTTCTTAAATGTGTTTTCCAGAGGTGCCCATAAGTGTTGCTGAAGGGCTCAGCTGTGTCCTGCAGTGGGGCTCTTCGAAGTGGCTGAAACTGGCTGGAACTGGTGGTGTCCGGCACAGGAGAACCCCAGCCTCCTCTCACAAAGGCCCCC